ACGAAAAAATTGACACGTAAATCGATGAATTCGCCAAAATGACCTCTGACGGTGAAACGGATCATGCCAGCGGGTCCGGAATGTCAAAAATACCTAGATAGGACATCCATATTCAATATGTTACGACGCACGAATAAAACACAAATTCAATTTTTATTTTCTAAAATATTAAATACTTTTTAAACTTTACCCCTAAATTATAATCCCATTAAAACTTAACCCTATTTAGGTTCTCACCCGCACCCTTCACCATCTGTTCGACCCATTCACGGATTCGAACAGGTGAAGCGCTCGGCTCTCCCTCTCGCCCGTGCCCTAGCTTCCATGGTTGATCCACGCGACTTTCCTCTGCCGTTCGAGTATGCGGCGCGCTCTCCCGTTTCTTCCCCTTCTTAATGTGGCAAATTAGCCGACCGGTTCTCCAATTACAGGAGGCAAGCTGACCGACGCTTCTCCTTCTCGAGGCTATACGTTCTCCTCATTTATGGTGTTGATTCCTTCCTTCGCTCGATTGGTTGGCTAGGGCGGCAAACATGTGGCTTTTCTTTTCGTTTCTCTGGTTATTAGCTTACCGTGAGGATTAGGAGAGGGGTTGTTGAAAATTTTGAGAGAGAAAAGAGATGGTTTTTGAGAGAAGAAGACTTGGATTTTTTTTTACTGTTGGGAATGCTACTTCTTTCTGTTTTGTTGTTCGAAGGAAGCTCTTCTTCCTCTCTGTTGGTCGATACTCTCGTGGTTAGAGCTTGTCGAGCCGGGAGCTAGAAACCGTGGGGGCTAGCAAGGTCTTCAAGAAGGATTTCTGTCGAGGTGTTTCTTTCAATTTATCTTTAGTGCTTTGCTTTAAATCTGCATTAAAAAGGTATTATTCTCTTCTCCTCTATTTGACAGTATTTCAGATGGCATGAAAATACTTCCTATCTCATGAGAAAGCAAGATTTGGGTATATTTTGAAGTTTAAGCATGAATAATCTATGAAAATATGGAAATGGAGCATGATATTGGCTTTTTCCTTTTCTTTTCTGCTTAAGATACATAGAAAGCATGTTTAGGATCATTCTTACATGCAAATCTTTTTTTTATAATCCTGTTATTTCTATATTTATATGCGGGAATTTGCTTCGATGCTTTGGATAATGGTTTAAGATCCTACTTATGCTATTCTGTTTTCTGTTGTCTGTCCCTATTCGAAGCATACATATTGAATGCAAATTTTGGGTTTTGATGTTGCAAGGAGGATCTGTTTTGGCCCATATGGTGGGCTTGAGTCTAGTTCCTTTTTGATTAAATGGTGGCTGGAAGTATTTCCCTGTTTCCCTATATGGACGTGTTTTCGGCTTTTGCCCCTATGTCGGGCTGGGTTTTTTCCTTTGCTGCTTGGTTTCTGCCCTTTATTTGGGCTCGGTTTGGGTTCCTTTTGGTGATTTATGTTTGCTGAAATTTTTTACTGTTAGAACCATTTCTCTGACTAGGTTTGCCCTTTTTTTGGGCTCGGTTTTGGTTATGCTTTTGCTATTCCCTGATGGAGCTCGATTTACTGGAGAGCTCGGTTTTTTTTTTTGCTATTCTGAGAACATTTGTTATGTTGCTTATCTCTTCGTGTTGGGTTCGGTTGGGCTAGAAACTTTGGATATAACGCTTCCTTTTGAAATTTTTGTGGGTAATCAAGTTTGTCATCCCAAAATTCATAAATTTCGATATGTACCACTATGTGAGAATGTTTAATGTGAGCCGTATTTGATGTTTATGACCTTTATGGTCTTCCTCTTGCTCTCCCTACTCATGGATCTATTTTATAGTGGCTTTGGTTTGCTGCCTTAGCCGTAAGCCTCACTTGGTGTTTACTGCCTTTATGATTTTTCTCTGGTTGTCCTTGGCCGTGAGCTGGATTTGAGGCTGGCTTGTTTTCTTTGTGATACATGTTGCCTTACCTGTGAGCTCTCCTCTCCTTTTGGCTTTACCAGTGAGCTCTCCTCTCTTTTGGCTCCTACCCGTGAACTAATTGGAGCTTGGTTGTGCTCCCTGCCGCCTTACCCGTGAAATTTCTTCTCCTTTTGGTTTTACCCGTGAGCTTTAACTTGTGATCTCTTGGTGGAATGAATTAGGCTGGTGGTTGTCTCTTTCTATTACCTTGAATACTCTATGGATAATTTCATGTTTATGAGATAAAAAAAAAGAAAAGAGCTTTTGATTAATGTTGGAGTTGAATGGAATTGGTATTGGCATAGCTTTTTGGAAATTTAGAAAGTTATTCCCTATGGATTATTCTCTCTCGCTTTGTGACATATGAAAAGTTCTTGAAACTTTATTTCGAGAAATCATGAATTTTATATAAATTGAATTCATAAAATTGTCATGGGTTGATCCATTTATGAAATGTCAGAAAATGATATCCTTCTAGGATTGATTCAAGGATCTTGGGCTCTATTTTTAGGTCTTTTTGATATGACTTTGAGGATTGCTCCACCCTTTTTCCTTCGATCTTTTGGGTAGATCAGTTTCTCCTCTCTCTCATCCCCATTTTTGTTTTTTTTTTCCTTGCTTCTTGGTTCGATTTTTTGTGCTTATGTCTGATACATAAGTGCTCATGTATAGCCTTTTGTTATATGTGAAACCATCAATTATATGTGAAACTGTTATATGTGAAACCATCAAGCAAGGTCGCAAGTAGGTCGGTTTTGCTTTGGGGTGTAGGGCGATGATGACAAAGACACGTCAGTGGTAGAGTAGAATGATATCTCATTCTACAACACAAGGACTCAATTCTAGGACCTGATAAACTATAGGATAAAAGTATCATTCACCGACATAAGACTAGAGGGGGACCCGTATCTTCTTAGGTTGTTGGTAGTCCTAGGCTCAGTGACGTGATCGACTTATGGACAATCATTTTTTTTTCAAAATTAATAAAATAAATTGATAAGGATAGATGCAATATTAAAAAAAAATATTTTCATTACAAAATCAAATTAAAACAACTTGTCTTTTGTATGCCTGATATACATATGCATGTTAAAAATATGCATGTTAAAACTTAAGTTTATGCATGTTAAAACTTAAGTTTTAAAGAGGTGTTACAAATTGGGTTGTCCATTTGTTGATTGCCGATCCTGGGCTAAAGAATACCCTCATAAATTAGGTTCATTAGGACATTCTTCTAGTGGAGTGTCGGGCTTTACGTATCCGGGTGACCGAGTAGCCTTCGATGACCCTCGAATACAAATATATATATACAAATATATATGAGTCTAGCCCCGACCCGAGTGCTTGCGGTTCCCTCTTTTCAGATTTTTTTTATGTTTTCTTGGAATTTTGGACAAAACACTCGTGGGATTTTCTTCGGGGTTTTTCCGAGATGATTATTATTTGTCAATTTTTCTGAATCTTTCATCGTGGATTTATTCGTCGATTTTCTCGAAGTTTCCAAACAACTTTCTTTATACAGTGAATAATAGCTAGTTTAAAGGAGCAGCAGACTTCTCAAATTTACAGGTGTGATTTACCTTGCTGTATTTTTTTTTAATTTATTTTCTAGCATGCTATATTACTTTCCCAGCATGTTATATTGCTCTTTCTAGCATGTTACACTCTTCTTTCAGCATGCTATATTGTATTTTTTTTCTACTGTACACTATATTGTTATTTTCTTTTATACTGCATGTTTAGTTATTTTGATACATACTATGCCTTAGTTTAAGATAACCTAGTGGTTAGGTTCGTTTTCAAAACTAAAACTAAACCTGGAGGTGCTACGAGGAGCCTGGAGCGAACATCGTGGGCAGCATGACGAGGAACAACTTCAAGGTGGATTTGCAGCAACAAAACATCAAAACACATCACATCACCTATCACTTTATTTAGTTTAAATAACAACTCACAGGATCACCCTTTAGGCTTTTGTACAATTCTGTTGTGCAATTATAAGTTCTATCACCTTAGGATTCTGAGGTTACCGTGCGGTACGGTGTAAATTCTCATATCTTTTTAGACTATTTGCACAGTCCGATATTGTGAAAACATAAGTCCTAAATCCAAAATAATTTGCAGGATTGAAATATCAAATTACATCACTTCAAAGACATAAAGCCGAACATTAGGATAGTTGAGACATCTCCGGAGTTTCTCCTGGATCTGTGATGTCTACTATTATTCATTCCTTTGAATTCCTTAAAATAATTGTTCATATTTTGAGTCATTCCCATTTGATTGTCTCATGTCCAATCGTGAAAACCTAAACTTTGAAATCTTGAAGACAACACCACCTGATCTTAATCGAGATTTTTCTTTAGTGACCCCCAGTCATTTTAGATGTAATTAACTATAGGGGTTTGCCTCTATAGGGAACCTGAAACCTAGATAAAATAAACTCTATCTAATTTTTTATGTTATGTAGGGGAACTTGTTAGCCTTTTTATAAAATATTTTGCAGATTAAAACGGATGCCACAAATTCTTTAGTCTAGGTGATTGAATCCCTATTACAAGTGATATATTTATTCTTCGAGATAAGTGTATTACTTTTAGTATTGTATTCAATCATCTAAACTATTTAAAATGTGAGACCCGTTTAGTCTCTCTTATTTTAAAATTAAAATGTTACTTTTAAAAATAAAAAGAGTTATACTCATATTTAAATTATTTTCAAAATTACAAAATCATCACTTTTTCAAATCACGAAGTTAAAATGGCCGACAAGGGGGTGACTTTGAATTGGAAAATGGAAAAAGTTGATTAAAATAATAATTAAAGAATAACTAGAGTAATTAATTTAAATTGCCATTGTTTGTAGATAGGTAAAAATTAAAGGTACTTGAATACAGAACTCAAAAAAATCTATTTTTTTCTCAGAAAAAAGATAATACTAGAGGAGGCTTTTACAAATTAATAAAAAGATAAACTCGTGCTCTTTCTTTTTGTATACTTAAATTAATCTACGTTTGTGGTGGCACGATGAATCTCTGGCTACTTTTTCTAACGTTTTCTCCTAATCTTTATCATGTACAGGGCACTACTGTGAGGGTTGAATTTGGCGGTGGAACAACTGGAGTAGATCCAGCGGGTGCGCATGTCATCAGCCAAGCTTTCCCACACACCTATGGTCAGCCTTTAGCTCATTTTCTGAGAGCAACATCCAAGGTTTCACGTGCTCAGATCATAACCGAGCATCCATTCAAAAGGTCAGCCTTCTTGTTTGCTTTGCTTATTATTTTTTTGGGAAATTTACATATCTAGCACACAATTCTTATGTGCTTACATAGCTTACATATCTCACACCTAAACATATCTCACACCTAAACTTTCATATTTACATACATAGTACTTTGGTGCTTCAAACCTCTGCATGAAAATGTGTGTTTCACTTTTAAAAAGTAGTAACAATGCTATTTTTGATGTGATATTTAAGATTTGAGTGCTATGTGTGTAAATAATAAAGTATTGGTGTTAGATATATAAATACAGAAGACTCGTGTGCCATGTATGTAAATGCCAATTGTAACTAAATCTATTTCCTCTATTTACTAGGTTCTCTGTGTGTAAAAGTTTAAGATGCCCTAGCAGATTGGCTCTATTTCATGATTTATTTTTATATATGTTTCAATTGCCTTTTTATTGCCCTCAGATGTTCTTGGTTAAGTTTTGCTGTTGTGATATTTTATCATCTTCTTTTAGAGTGGGCGTTGTGTTTAGTGGAAGGCAGTCTCCAGGCGGACATAATGTCATTTGGGGTCTTTACAATGCTCTGAAGATTCACAATACCAAAAATGTTTTGCTTGGGTTCGTTGGTAAGTATCTTGTTCGTCATATTTATAAGTACATTCATTAATATGGAAAATATTCTTAATTTTGTAGCGTTGTCACAGTGAAATAACGAAGGGCAAATCTTATGTGACTGGGATGTACTTATATCGGTAGCTTTGTAGTTAGTAGCCAATGAATATACATTTATTTTATGCTATAGATTTTTCTGTCTATCATGTTCTAGAAGTTGATTTGACTGAAGTTGAGATTCATAAGTTTGATGCACATCAAGGATACGTTTGCAACTGAATTAGCTTACCCAGGATGCAAGTCTACTTGCGTGGTTTGTGACTTTTGCTCCTGTATTGCATCACAGTTGCCATTATTCTCTGGAACTGGATTTGCTAAAGTACTATTTTGGTTAAAATGAAATCATGATAACCATCAAGCTATCTTGCATGCATTACCCTATTCATCTTTTGTCAGCAAATTTATTTGTGGGTAACATCAGGGCCGACTAATGAAAATAAGTCAAGTTAAAGAGAAGCTCTGAAGTTTCATTAGACTGGGAAATGGTTTGATTTGTCAGGCTGATCCTCTAGCCCACTATTTATACGTTTGTGTTAAGCCTCATTGCTTTAGGAAATAATATATTTAAACAATGGAAGATTTACATCCAAAATGTATAACCCTCCTCCCCCCAATTCTCATCATTTATCAATATTCTTCTTCGTCATATGATCTTGAAAAAAATCACAATTATGATAAGGGAAGAATAACATATGACAATTGAGAGCATGTGTAATCTTACTAACAGAGAAAATATTAAAAGAGAATTGAGGTAAACTAAGGACAAATGTTAAAGGTAATATAGGTGTAACATTAATGATACTAGAATTGAGAACATTAAAAATAGATCCATCTGTTAAGGTGACGGAAGAAAGATGTTTATGAAAGGTGAAAAAAGGTTTTGGATTACCTATCTTATGATATATGGCATCAAAATCAATAACCTATTATGTGGAAGAGAAAAGAAGACAAGCATTGTTGTTACCTAACTCAACAAGAGTAGTGATAAAAGGAGATTTCGGGATGCTTCTTGAAATTGGATGAATTTTGTATATTCATATGCAGAAATTGAGAGAGTTTGACTTTGTGAGGCCTCATTAGTAGTGACCATGTGAGCTGACTGTGACCTAGAATTCTTCTGATTCTTTTTGAGCAGCTGCTGACGCGTTCTCTTTGTATGTCCAGGGTCATTACAGTAGTAGCGAACTACTTTCAAGCTTCAATTTCCAGAACTTGGAGTTCTACTTCTATAATTGCTTTGAGAATGAGTTATACTGATGTCTGTATTTTTCTGGCTAGCAAGAGCATTAAGTTGTTGTATGAATGAAGCCTAGGGACTCGAAATAATATGCGACACTCTAGCATAAGCTTTCTTCAGAGAGTAACCCCAGTGTCAGATAGATTTTATGATTTGACACCTTCATACTTAGAGTTAAGGCCAACTGTTTAACTGTCATTTGTTCTCTTTGAGCCTATTGAATTTGAACATTAGTACTGAAGGATAATAGTAAATTCAGTTCTTCATACACACACTTAAAGTGCATGTGGGAAGTTTTAAATGATCGTTCCTCTTGTTCAGCTCCGTAGAACTCTTTGCATACATCAAAGATTCGAGAAATATTTTCTCCCAAAAAAACATAAATTCCAATTCCTCCATAGCATCTTTAACACATTAATAATGAGTTATATGACCAAATTGATAGATTCAATAGAGTTTTGTATTCGTATCAACAGCTGGGCATCAACTCTTTTACACTTAGATTAATTCAAATTAGTCTTAACCGAGGGATTATCAATGAGGTGATTCTTATGGGAAATACTTCTTAAGTAAAGTTTTACAGTTTTGTTCCAATAAAATAATTGATGTTATTTAACTTTTTATCCGTTATTTTAGTCACTGAGGAAATCAAACTTGTCATAACATATTTTTGTTCCACAATCATGATTCTCACCAAATATTCAAGGAAATTTACCTATTGCTAAAGGAGGAGTCAAAGGGCGAGACGAACGTCACAAACGGACGATGCCGAGCCTTAAGAGACCAATTACTCAATGACCAACAGTTCAACAATTACCAAAAACAAAACCGAAGGAACCGATGAAACCGAGGAAGCAAACAAAGCGGCTTACGAAATCGACCTAAGCAAATGAAGCCGAGATGCTGATCAGGATTAAGATGAAGTAGATCGAAGTAGATGATGTCGATCAGGATGAAATGCAGCAGAATGGCGCAGACAGAGCGGATGAACCAGGGAAGCATTGATCGATGCCCTCATCCTATTGTGGGATGAAGGCGGAGCAGATGAAGTTGAATGATGCAAATAAAGTCTCTGATGCTACGTGAAGGAAAACTTCTTTTTTTCTCTTATTCACCAATTGAAAATATATGTTACATATTTATGTACACTAAGAAATCTATAGATTATGCATATTTCTAATAAAGGAAAGATCTGCAATTAGATCTCCTCTAATTAGGTTACCTATCTATTAGATTTTCTATAATCCAACTTCATAATATACAACCATCATATCTATTACTTTTCATAACAATCTTATACAACCATCATATCTATTACTTTTCATAACAATCTTAAAATATCTTTACTCTTAATTTCTATATTTTTATTCTTGTTTGTCTTCTCCATTTTAGCCTTATTCGCATTTTAAATATAGCAGTAATTGCCTTTCAAGGCAAGCCTTTAACTTTGTTGACTTTTTATACACATGTTGTAGTTGAAGAGCAATTCATAAAAAAGAAAAAAACAGCCTGATCTATGAATTTTACGGCCATGTAATTTTTTATCACCAAAGGGACAAAATTGATCCTTTGTATTTGTGGATCCCTCAAACTTTTCCTTAATCTTGAAGGGTTCTTTTTTCTCCTTTTGATTCAAGATTGATTTAATGAAGTTCTTGCACTTAATAGTTTTTCTGTTTGGTTGTTCTATATTTTTCATTATTGCCATCATCCATGGCCTTTTCAAACTATTTGGATTAAACCTCATCTTTCATTCATTCCTTTTAAGAGTTGCATCACTTAATTTGCACAGTTCTTCTGTACAACTTGTAGCCATATTTTTTGTTGGCCGACTCATGCTCTTTTTTCGAACATATACATTAAATTTAAATAGTTATCTTATTGTTGCAACTTCTACCCACCATCATATATGTACAAATTTATTACATTTATTTTTCATTACCTTATCTTCATTAGTTTATAATCACTAAATAGGACGCAATGGAGAAAAAGGATTAATGTAGCCGACCCCACGTAGTGGGATTAAGGCCTTGTTGTTGTTGCTCATATAATCATTTTTTAAACTGTCCTACCTATTTTTTATCATACATTAATCTTAAAATACTTTTATTTGTTGTCACATTTAACTTTGCTATCATTGACATCTTATAGTAGAACATTCTGATCCACGTAGGATTGCTAATCTAATTGTAGATTCATCGTAAAATTTTTCTTTTCGTTATTGAGAAATTTCTCTTGTTACAAGAAACTCATGGAGCACTTCATTAAAGTCACCCAAATTTGATTTTAGAAATTATAACTTCATCTATATCCCCATTCTTCTATATAATAATTCCAAGTCTTACGATTATATATTATTTGATTTTCTTCTAATGCTGATTGACAATTATTATGTTTCATTTCCGCTAAAATTGCAAATCATATACATGGTATTAGTTCTATTGATCCTGAGTTCCTGCTATTTTAAAGAACTCATCAATTGTAACTTCTCACTTGTCCCAACAAATCTTCATACAATTTTATCTGTCATCATGCTGCATTCGTATTCCCCACATATTCTTTTTTCCAAAAACAATTGTTTTGATAGGCACACTTCTGTTTTATTTACTTTTTAAGCAAATAAATGAAATGTAGATTGCAGGATATTTACGTGCGGCATTGATATTGCCCAAACTGTTTAATCATTTCTTTTTCTTGTATTATTACATATAGGTGGGACTGAAGGCTTGTTTGCACAGAAAACCTTGGAGATCACAGATGAAGTTCTTTCCTCATACAAGAATCAAGGTTTTTGAAGAAAGCCTGCATTGATTCTTGGTTCTATAATGTCCATAATTTGTGTTTTTAATTTTTTTTGTACTGAATTCTTTAGGTGGTTTTGATTTGCTTGGACGCACCGTCGATCAAATCCGAACTATCGAGCAGGTTAATGCAGCGAAGGCTGCCTGTGATGCCCTGAAATTGGACGGTCTTGCCATAATTGGAGGTAATTTAGTTCTTGATTTTTGTTCTGCTATTTCACTTTCTAGAGTAATTTTATCTGCTGAACTCTTTTTTTTTTTTTTTCTGCTTTTCAAGGAGTTACATCTAACACAGATGCTGCACAGCTTGCTGAGACTTTTGCAGTGTCAAAATGTCCAACAAAGGTACTGAAATGCCACAGTATCTGTATGTTATGGAGTGCTACAGGTCCTTTTTTCATATTGTGTATAAACTTTGTTTGTTTGAGTATGCTTCCATGCATTTAGATGTAAGTGTCCACATAATATGGCTTCTTCACTGATTTTCTTAGGTGCTTAAGTACACGCATTTTAAGCCATGTTCTTTATTACATCTTAAATTTTGTTCTTAATTTTTCTTTCTGTCATTTTACTGAAGGCTTAGAACTTTAAATGTTCTCACAGGTGGTTGGTGTTCCAGTAACACTGAATGGGGACCTTAGAAACCAGTTTGTTGAGGCAAATGTCGGGTTTGACACTATATGTAAGGTATGAAAACCATTACATTATTAAAAATGCATGCTGTTTTACTTCACTATATCATAAATAAGCCCGATGGCTATTTATCCCTTTTTATACTTTGCTTCTTGTAATTTTTCCATGTGCTTGGTGAAAACTATCTTCTTCACCGTAGTGGATATTGACCTGTTTCAATTTCAATTTGCAACAAATATATCCATAATTATTACACCTTTATCATTTTTTTTTTCTTCTTTGAACTTTGAAAATGATGCTTCATAGTTATTCATGTTCCTGAATTTGGCTGATTACCTTATATTGTCTTCTCATCTTTTGACATCTAATTATGATAGAATTGCTTCACTATCAATTATGCCTGCATTCTTATCAATGTTTACTTTGTCTGATTTTCTCTATACAGGTTAACTCACAACTCATAAGCAACGTCTGTACTGATGCTTTATCAGCTGAAAAGGTAACTAATTCATTATGGAATAGTTTGTTTTCGTGCAATTATCATTCGTGTAAGATATATATATATATATGATTGTAAAGTTAACATATGTTGTTGCCAGTATGAGATCTAGTTAAGAGGTTTGAAATTTTGATCTTATGTGTCTGCAAGACTGCTTTATTGTTCTATACAGACGTGCTTCTCAAGTGTTAATGTAACTATCACTCCACCGTCCACAATTTTTCGTGCCTTGTGTATTTTTCCAATAAAATATCCGAGTCTGCTTGATTTTTTTTTTCCATTCATGATGCTTTACTTTTTCTTTGCAGTACTATTATTTTATTCGCCTGATGGGCCGCAAAGCTTCTCATGTAGCTCTAGAATGTGCTCTCCAATCACATCCAAACATGGTATAGTTTTCTACTTAGAACGAAAACTTCAGTCAGTACATTAATGTATCTCTTTTCATTTTGTGAATTAATATTGATTGTCATGTTGCCAGGTTCTTCTTGGTGAGGAGGTAACTGCCTCAAAACTTACTCTTTTTGATATTACAAAGCAGATCTCGGATGCTGTTCAAGCCAGGGCAGATCAAGGTTTTATTATTTTGATTTTGTACATTGTGTTGCAGCTTTCTATTAGGTTTCCGTATCTTCTTTGGCCTCACACTCCCCCTTCAAAAAAATTAGATTTTCTATAATATCTTATGTTTCCATGGTAGGGAAGTTCCATGGGGTGCTTCTTATCCCAGAGGGTTTGGTAGAGAGTATTCCCGAACTGTATGCTCTCCTGCAGGTATTGTCCACCTAATTTTTGGTTGGATTCCTTCATTTGACATCTCAGAAATACTACTCTCTTATCATGATTCTCTACTTATGCACTGCTGTTGCTATAATTATTACAGGAAATTCATGGTCTTCATGGCCAAGGTATTTCGGCTGAGCATATCTCCACCCATCTTTCTCCTTGGGCATCTGCATTATTCCAATTTTTGCCACCATTCATCAGGAAACAGGTTAGATTTTGTGTTTAAGGATGATATCCTTCTGTTCTAAGTGGCTTTTGTGGTCATATATTATTAAGGCTATCATGATGCAGTTGCTTCTCCACCCTGAATCAGATGACTCAGCACAGTTGTCTCAGGTGAACTTATCATCAGTTGGCTGTAATTTGAAGTCTTTTTTATTATCTTATAAAATATTCTTCGGTTGTACATAGATTGAAACAGAAAAACTTCTGGCTTATTTGGTGGAGAACGAACTGAACAAGCGAACGGTGAGCATCCTACGCCTTCTACTCTTAGTAGATAAGCTTTTTAGGAACATTGCATTTTGTTTGCATTTTGTTTTGATTTTCTTGTATTGTTTGATTGGGGCCTGAAACCTAAACTTATCCATTTATTCTTTGGGGACGAGTTTATGTAACCTATGATTGTATAACTTTTTATAATATCTATGACTCATTGCAGCTCTCTTCCTTAACACGATTAATTAATCATTGTGCTTAATTTTATTCCCATCTTTTCGTGTATGCACAAGCACATTTCTCTAAGCTCTCAGAATTTCTTTTTTGTTTCATTTTATATGTCCTTTCCCTTGTCACTTTTAATGTATTTAACCTTGTCTGTTACAGAAAGAAGGAAAATATAAAGGGAAGAAATTTAATGCAATCTGTCACTTCTTTGGCTATCAAGCTCGGGGCTCTTTACCTTCAAAATTTGACTGTGACTATGCCTACGTAAGTTTAAATTTAGTGTTGTTTTCTCTTCATTTTAAAATTATGTTATCATGCAGTAATTCAAGGAATTAGACGTATTACAGGTTCTTGGGCACATCTGTTACCATATTCTTGCAGCTGGTCTTAATGGCTACCTTGCTACCGTTACAAACCTGAAAAGCCCCGTGAATAAGTGGAAATGTGGTGCTGCACCAATTACAGTTATATCCTTGCCCATTCTCTTTGTTTTCTGATGTTTATTAACTTGCAATTTTTAATATTCAGACCATATGAGAATACTTTGTTTGTTGCTGCTAGGCAATGATGACCGTAAAGAGATGGTCTCGGGGACCTGGTATAAGTGCAATAGGGAAACCTGCTGTCCATCCTGCTTCCGTTGACTTGAAAGGAAAAGCATACGAGTATGTTTTCTAATAATTATTTTAAATTTAACTTGAACTTAATTCGGGATCAATATGATCTTTCTTAAAAGTTTTTAGCAAATGGTTCCTCTTTTATCAATTTTGGCCTTAGCCCAATTATATAGGGTCAGCTCTGTAAGAATTCCTTTCCATTCATCATTGTAATGCTGCCTTTGTTGGCAAGTCCAATGTATCTAGATCTTTAAGTAAAACCTTAAGCCATATTATCTTGAGCTGCATATATACATCCTACTCTTTATGTTGGTTCTATTTTACATACACAAATCACAGTTTATTTTTGTAACTGCAGTTTTAGAAGGTTCTACTCCAATAGTGTTTGTGTTTGTTTTAAATTGATAAAAAGGTTGAAATGATCATTGAATTATTTGTATGGGACCCTTCGAGTCTTAATTATTGTGTTTAGTTTAGCCACTGACTTCTCAAATACGGGTTCTTAGATTATAATTGTACAGATTTAAGGAGTTGATGGACTCTTTTGAATTAGATTTGAGTAAAGGGGCTAAATTGGACGCATTAGATAGTCTAGGATTAAAACAATATTCCCTAAATAGTTAAGTGATACCTAGATCCTAAGAAGTAGTTTGAGGATCGAGTCTAATGGGGAAAAGTTGTAGGATGCAAAGAAAATGAAAACCGTGGGAAGTTTTGGAAAGATTGAAAGAGTAAACAACTAATCATGGTGGTTGTCCGGATAGAAAACAGCATGAATGGTAGCAAAGACAGCAGGAGCTGTAGCAATCAGCTATGTTGGCAAGGCTTGGATGTCTAGGGACATGCACCACCACTTCTCGAAAAAGCTACAGACACACTTCTATACGAGAAAGGTGATATCTGTTGAGAATTGGACCTTATTTAGGATCCTATTGGTAAAAAGGGAATGTTGAAGAAGTCTAAGGACGTATTTATAAAATATTGTTATACCCTATTTAAGCTCATGTTACAAAGCATATTTTGAACCATTCTTTTTTTATGGTATCAGAGCCCTAAATCTAGCAGCCATCACAGCCCTCATTGATGCTGCTCAATCGCGGCGAGACCCAGAACTCCGATGTTCCCTCTTCGGTAGTGATCCTCTTACGTAGCGGGAACGACACCGACGTCACGGGTGTGACCCGCCGTTGGAAGGCTTCCATCTTTCTCCGCATCCGAATCACAACCACCTTGACAAAAATTAATGGGTGACAATGAGGGATCATGTCGTTACAATCACGTTAGCGCTAACTAGGAAGGCAAATACAAGATCGCGAGATTGCGACTGTCGCCCTCGGGCATGCGAACTGACAATTCCTTCGGCTTTGAGCGGCTCAATGCAGGGTAGCGGTGAAGCGTGCTTGAAACCAGTGCAGTGGAGGAGAAAACTTTGGTTCCACGTTTGTGAGAGGATGTCGGCACAAAAAAGAAAAGAGGTTGTTTGGGGGTCGCCCGTAAGAAGCTGTCGGCAGCCGGAATTGAAATCCCATCGCCCGCTTTGGAAGGACGTTTTAATTTATATATATATTTAGTTTTAGAAAACTATGAAATCAAAGTGACCCCATATTTTTCATAGTTTAAATGAAAGAGCATTGTACTTCAAATCCTGTATCTATCCCAAAGGATAAACACAACACTTGAGGATGAGGCTCGATCAAATAAACTAAGGAATATATGACATCCATTTGGTCTGTGAAACCATTATATTTGCCAACAAGTTCCCCTATTTAATATAAAGATTAAATAGGGTTTATATTAAGCTGGGT